CTGTGAGCCAGCCGCGAGCATGGTCGCGCGCCGTGCTTGTCGCCGCGTTTTGATTACGTCATCGTTAGGTTACCAAATGTATAGGTGCATTTGTTGTTGTTGAAGGCCTGGCTGTTACAGTCTTTATTTACACTATTTTGTTGTAGGCCTACTGGCCTAGATGTTTATGCAGTTTTAAAGCACCTTGGCTTTGTTCTGAATGCACTTTGTTGTAGTTATCCCACAGAGAAAAGAAAATGCACTTGACTTGGAATTAATGTACTGTATGCATTCAAAAGTGCTGAATAAATGTTTTATGGACCCATAATAGTGATTATTATTTAAGTTAAGTTTTGCAATAATCATGTCTTTTTCCATAATCAGGTAGCTGAACAACATTGGTAAAAAATGTATACATTATATATATATATATATATATATTTCTATTAATCATTTTCGGCCTTTCGGCATTCGGTTTTCGGCAAACTGTTTCCTATTTTCGGTATCGGCCAAGAATTTCCCATTCGGTGCACCCCTAATATTAAGTGTACAGTTAATATAAATATACACCTCCTTTGCTTCGGCATCTCCTCATATTATCCATATTCTTTAATGTCATATAAAGATGTGGTCCCCAGTGCTTCTCTGCAGTCAGACTGCTCATCCAGCTGAACCTGAGTCCGAGTGATCACTTTATGTGTCATGAGACAATCTGTGCAGAAAACTGGATCAAAATATATGGTTTTTGAGAGAGGGTGTGATGTGATTATACTCTGTTCAGTCCATGTGGATCAGAATTAGAGAAACGATTTAAAGAGCTGAGTGTTGGATTTCATTTTTTCTATATTTATGTTGCATTATATTTAGAACAAGTTTTTATTGTTTATTTAACTCATAAATTACTCAAGATTGCAAATGATCTGATTCACAGGAGAATATCTATAATCCTGAAACATCCTTGATGTTACTTTAGACTTACTGCACACAACATGACAAAATAACACTTAGGTGTGATGAGATGCAGACAGCTGAGCAATCATTTTTCAAAGACTTTTCTTTTGAAATGAAATGGGAAAAATATATTAAGATAAAGAGCCAGCATGTGAACATAACCCATGGAATGTAAACAATAAATGCACTTAAATTATGCAAAACAAGAAACATAATTTCAACACCACAATATAGGTTTTGCGTTGAAAAGCAAAATAAATAAGACTTTAAGTTAACAAAAGTTACAAAAGCTGCTTGCTGCCGGGTCTGCAGCAACAGAGCGTCTCTGGACCATTTCTCCACAAACACACACCATAAAAGTCTTGATTTCCCCTGCCGCTCAGTCAGCTGGCGTGCAAGGTCGACCTACAAACACATTGTCATCAAGGCAACTCTGATAGATACAATTAAACAGTAATCAAAGGTAACCTTTTCACCTCTCTGTTTACATCACAATAGAAGTAGATAGCACACAGGATTTAAACAGTGTAGGAATTTCCATACACCACGACCAAATGCAGTACAGCAGTCTCAGATTAGGCAAACATGCACAATGGCATATTAACACTCTTTTCTAAATAATTTCCTTATCATTTGATAGCTGTGCTGCTCCTAAACTAATGATCTTAGTGTAAACATATTTTAATTTATAACTGCTGACTCTGAGGTCATGAACCACTCTTTCAACACCATTTTGCTTTGTATAGAGATAAGATCACTAAACAAACTGAAAAAGGTTATTACAGTCAGAGGCTTAGTGAAGAGGAGTAGACCCACTGTGTGCTGACACCATCAGCAGTTAGCATGGCTAATGCTACTGATCCCAGATGTTTCAGAGGCAGTACCACTAGAAGGCTCCTCTAGTGGAAGACAACCACTAACTTACTAATCGAGCTGCTCATGGTGTTAACTCAGTGAAACTTGATTTCTGCTGGCCATTTAGCCAATAAGGCAACATACGTACTTATAGAATGCCAAAAATGTTTCTCTCCCTCCATTTGTCTCCTCTCCGCTAGCCTCATTAAAGCTACTGGATAGCATAAACCGAGCTGATGGCCATCATGAATGCAAAGTAAAGCAACGTTTCTCTAGCATTATAACACAGCATGAACACAGACACAGATCACACATATCAACCTATACAAAAACGATATCTAGAAACATCTAGAAATGTTTTAGCTATCATATCAATATCATAAAACTGTATATTACCTGTTGGTAAAAGGCTAGGCTAGGTGTTAGCAATACTAGGTTAGGGTAACTCTAACACCAATTTTGGTAACTAGAGAGTCAGTGGGGTACCTAAACTTTTTGTTGCTGATGTTTAGTTTATCTATATCTGAGCCAGACAGTTAATATGGCTGACAAATACAATCAGGTGGCCACAGCCATGCAACCAATCAAGTAATCAATCAGTGACAGCATACAGTACTAAGCCTCTTACTCGTGGAAAAGAGGCTGCTTACACAGGTGGAGGGCCCTGATATGACTGGCATCACTCTAAACTGTTGCAAGGAACAAAAATAAGCCAGTTGTGAAAAAATAACTTTGCTATCCTAAAAAAGTACTCCAGTCATGCACAGGGCATACAACATTAATCTTAAGATTTCATCAGGGTACAGAGAATTGGTATACAACAGTATACAGCAGTAACAATGGCAACAAATAAAAAACTTTTAAAAAATAACAATAAAACAAAAAAGGAGTCAGCTAAAACTGGACGAACACTGAGCAGCGCTACAACTGCTTGGATGAGAAATGCAATATGCACAAAGTTGGGTACTCTTACCCGGCTGGGTTCAGGGAGGAACTGGAACACTATGTTTGAATGTTCGAAAGCGACTTGTATCTCAACTGTTTAAAAAGTCTAGTTGTGATAATGGAGTTTCTGCTTTATTTACAACAAATATTGTGCTAGTTTGTTGTTTTTGGACTGGAGAGAAAAAATCTGATCCTCGTCACATAGATTTTTCCGGGTCTCCCTTGAAAAAGAGATCGTTGATCTAAATGGGATTTTCACCTGGTTAAATAAAGGCTACAAACAAACAATAAGACCATCCGTCCCCCATTAAACTCAGCCCTGCAGTAAACCATCCCTACTCGTCTGTGACGGACAGCCGGCTGAAGATGGGAAGGCGCCGGCCCTCGAAGCTCGGAGACTCGGTGCCGCTGGAGGCCGAGCTGAGGGAGCAGGAGGAGGTGTAGCCCTCCTCGGAGAGGGACTCCGCCGAGGAGCAGCGCTGCAGACTGTGCAGGGAGACGGGCAGCTGCTGGGGGAGGAGGTAGGGGAGGTTTGGGTTCTTGGAGGTGAAAGTGGAGGCGGCAAAGTTGGAGCTGATAGAGTCGGTCACCGCGTAGAACCGCAGAGACGAGTCCCCGCTGTCCCCACCCAGCTCTGGGACCCCAGAGCTGGGGTAGGGACACTGCTTCAGGGACCCCGGCTCAGGGAAGAGGGGGGAGAGGAGCTCTGGGCTCCCTGTGGAGGAGGGAGGGGGGGAGACTGAGGAGGCCCGGGTGAAGAGGAAGGAGGAAGGCTGCGACTCCTCCACCGGTTGGAAAGTCTGTGGAGAGGAGGAGAAGCCTGCAAAGCTGACGCTGTGACGCAGCAGAGGGGGCCTCATCCTGGGTTTCTGTGAAGGGCCCCCGCCGTCCAGCATCTCGTCTGCGTTGTGGATGAAGTGGCAGCGGGCGCCGTACGGGCAGAAGCCGATGGTGTGGAAGGTGCGGCATGGCTCCGTCTTGTACTTGGGGTGCCGGCTCAGGCCCCTCATCTCGTCCATGCCGTGGGCAAACTGACACTTGGCCCCGTACTTGCAGGTCCCGTTTTCTTCGTAGGTGCGGCAGAGTTCGGTCTTGTAGCGGGTGGAGATGTGAGGGGGGGATACTGGGGATATGGTGTCAGAGGGGGAGGCAATGGAAGAGAGAGAGGTGTTGCTGAGGCAGAAGCCTGGTGGGGGGAGCAGCACCTTGGGGGTCAAGTTAGCCAGTTTGTCCTCTCTGGCTGCCAGGCTGTGGCCCTCGATCATGCTGACCGAGCGGTCCACTATGAAGGGGATGTGACTGAGTGATGAGCGGGGGAGCTGACCGTCCTGGCTCCACTGCTTGGGGGGGGCCATGTTGAACCCCCACCCGGCTGAGTCAGCCACCTCAGAGCTGCTGCTGCTGCTGCTGCTGTTGAACTTGGAGTTGGGGAGGGTCACCGGGCACAGGGAGTGGCGGCGCTGGAAGCCCAGGACCTTCTGGTTCTGGTTCTGTGGTGGCAGGGAGCCGGGTAGAGGGCCATCTGTCTCCTCCATGCAGCGGAAGTTCTGTCACACAAAAGAGAGGAGAAGAATAGATTTGAGCTTTATGCATTCCTGGAGCACTGGAGCGAGGCAGGGCCAAGCCGAGCTGAAGGGAGATTTCAAAGCTGCAGCTAAAGCAACTGAGAACATTTTATTAAGAAGTACGATTGTTTTTTAACTTGAGAAAAATATATGAAACCACAAAACTGTTCTTGCAGTTTAAGATTTGGTGTCAGATTTTCTGGTAAACAAGCTGCCCACTCTACATTTCCAGTTTTCACAAGTTCACAATGTTTTAAGAGAGACTCACTCCAATCTAGATTCACCCCAAAACTGAAAGGACTTATTCCTATGGGCCGTATTCCTACAGTTTAGATACATCCAAAAACCACTTCATCTATATGTAAATTACTTCTACTACTTTTTATCCCTGCATTTTATTATTCTACTGAATAAGATGTTACATGACTTTTCCCTAGTTTTGTCTGCCGAGCCAGAGCTCATCACAGTTCGATGCAGAAAGTTAGTCAATACTTGTAAATAGTGTGAATTGTGATTTGTTGCTCTCACCTTGAAGAACTCCTCATCCTGTTCCAGGAAAGGCGTTAGAAAGTCGGAGGGCATGGTTCGCTCAAATGTCCTCGCTGAGTGAAGGGGCTGGGGTCTGGTCCCTCAGTGCAGGAAGGCTGGGGGGGAGAGAAAGAATACAGAGCCTGGCCTCTAAGGAGCTGAGCCGGCACAGAAAGGGTTTCAGGGCCCGGAGAGCCTCGGAGAGTTCCGTCCCTTGAAGGTCGTTCTTTGGCGGTCAGGAGAAACTGCTCTCCCAGAGCGGAAAGAGGTGTTTGTAGGGAAGGGGAGAGAAGTGAAGAAGTAGTCCGGTCCGTTGAGAGGGAGTCAGTGAGGGGGGAGGGAGAGCAACGTGACCCTTTGGAAGAAATTTCCTCCACCATCTGTTGGAATCTGCTTAAATAGTTGGGGAAACCCCCCCCCATACATACCCACCCCTCCCTGTGTTCTTCAGGGGGCAGGGCAGGGAGTGTGTGTGTGTGTGTGTGTGTGTTAATGTGTGTTAAAGTGTGTGTGTTGGGGGGATGGGGTCCTGCATTGTAATAGTGTGCTGGGGGGCAGGGTGGGCACAGAAAGAAGAGGGGGAGCTGAATGAAGCTACTTTTCTACCCATTCATTACCAAATCCTTAAAGATGCATTCTTCTCTCTCTAACCGCCCCCCCCCTCACTTTGTGACGATCGATACAGCTAAGGAGATAATTACAAGTGTTGCAAACACAACAAATACATGTACTGTCATTATCTTAATCAGAATGTCCTAGTTAAAATGCAGCATTGTTTCTTAATTTATCTAAAAGTATGCTTCTACTACTCTTTTTTTCGTAACATAATATTCTGTCATGATTATTCCTGACTAAAACTGGAATTCTTTCTAGTACTTAGTGTAACAACAGTTTAAGGAATCCCACTCCAGAACATGTAAGAGCAATAACTTGATAACTTTCAGACTTGATTCCCACTGAATTGGGTTTGTACTTGATGGAAAAGTTTACTTCCAGCACATGAAATCCACTTTCTTAATGTCTTTCATTTTTGTAAAGCACTTTGAATTGCCTTGTGTTGAAAGGTGCTATATAAATACACTTGCCTTGCCTTGCCTAGTACTTCAAGTACGCACAAACTGGGATGTTAAAAAGAGTTATGGTCTCTAATGTGACATTGTAGCTTATTATAGCTTTAATGAAAATAACAGAAGAAATTACAACAGCTATAGAAAGAAAGAAATACACAATAGGTGTATTTATTGACTTAAAAGGCATTTGACACCATAGACCACTACCTATT